TTTTAAAAGGGGTTGCTTCTCACTCTCCTTTTCCCCGCTTTTAGCTTTTTGGGGGCCCAAGTTTTTGTAATTAAGACTTTTTTTCAAAAACCCTTGTAGGGGGCCCTCTCTTTTTATTTCTGCTTAAAGTTTCAGGCCATAAAAAAATTCTGGTTTACCCCCTTTTTAATAGTTTTTTTAAATTTTGTTTTTGCGAGACAGACACTTTGACTTTAGCGATTTAAGGGCCTAGTAACTTTTTTTTAGATTTTTTCTAGATTGTTTTCTTCTCTAAAAGGGGAAATGTTGGAGCAGTTAAAGTTTGCACCCAAGTATTTTTAGTTTCCGGTCGTTTTATTTTCAAAAATTTTCCCTTTGGTTTGGCCTCTTTTCTTTTCCCGTTTAGTTTTAGTATTCCCTTTTCCCCCAAAAAGTAAAAAAACATTTTATTTTTTGCCTTTTTCATAAATTTTAACCTGGAAAGGGTTTTCCAATATTTAAAGTAACTAAAATTTTAAAATTTTCAAATGAAGAAATTTGGGTTTTGCTTTAAAGCTGCTTAGCTTTCATCCAAACCCCATCGTTTTTTTTGTCAGTAAATTAAAGGCCCTGTATGCAGAAGGGGTGTAAGGTAAACTGCTATTGTATTTGGCCCCACCGCAAATATTCGGCCCAATACGAATTTCAAAAAGGGCCACTATTTTGGCCCCCAAGCGAATACGAAGCGGGAAAATTCCCGGGACAGCCCCAAAAATTTTAATTTTGGTTTTAAAAATGTAAATTTTTGGTAAGTGTATGTTTTGTTTTTTGAATATGTTTATGTAGGCATTCAAAAGTCCTAATACATACAGGTTCGCATGTAAAAGGATTCGAATATATTAAGACAACCAATTTCCCACACTCATTTTAATTTTGGGAAAAAACGCCACCCCCTTAAACTCCGAGGTTTCAAAAAAAACAAAAAAAACAAGAGATTTGCGGTTCCCGCCTGTAATATATTTCCAAACTAAATTTTTTCAAGGCCCAAATTTTTTGCTGATGTCAAGGAAAAAGCAACGGTAATCTGCTTTGGATTTTGGTCAGGTTTGGAAAAAAGTAATGGACCCCAAAATTTCGGAATTTGACATTGTCGTCCAGTCTTAAATAGGTACCAAACAAAGCCCCGGGAAATAAAGGGGGCAGGGGTGAGTTTAAAAATCGTACAATGAATGCGATTGGTCTTAACAATATAAGTCTAGTCCTATATGCCCAATACTTTCAAAGAAGGCCAAAAAAAGTGTTATTTTTTTTTCCCTTTTCCTAAAAAGGGTTTCGGTAAAAATTTGTTCCAATTTCCCTTTTCAGTCGTTGCAGAACCCACATTTCATGTGTTTGGGTGTTTTTTGTTTTTACAAGGTATGTTTTTGTTCCGTCTTTGTCATTGCCGGGGAGTTGGGTTCCTTCGGGTATTTTATTTTCCAGGTTTTAGTCCCTACACGGGCGAAACGCTTCGTAATTCCCGGGGTGCCCTTTTTAGATCCCCCGCTGGGGGGGCATGCGCCCCTTTAAATTTGGGTTTTGACAGTGGTATCAAGAAAGCCCACCGGGGGGCCCAAAGGGGGTGGCAAACTACTAGACGGGGAAAATTTTCCTTAAAAAAAACACAACAGCCCGGGGGTTTTGGGGTTTGGGTTTTACAAAGTCCTGTAAAGACACGAAAAAACAGGTCTAGTGGGGGTGGGAAACAGCAGGAAGGTTAAAACCCCCCGGTTTTTGCCGAACTGGTGGTAATTTTTTGTATACACCAAATTGTTGTGATGGCTCCCTTTTGGAAAGGGGTGGAAAAGTGGGAAACCGCCCAAAAAAATTTTTACCCGGGCCGGGGGCGAATGGTTTCGGCGGGTTTTACCCAAGGGGATCTAGCCCACGTTCACACTCGGGAAGGGGGAGGATGTCAAACCCACAGTTACTGGTTTAAAAAAGCAAATTTGGGAAATTTTCGCTTGTGCTGAAAAGGGGACCAAAGGGTCTTATAGGGGTGTCCCCCTACTCTGATTTTGATACCCAGTTCAGCATTCACTGCCCGGGTTTTTTTATTTTAAAAGCCCAAACGGGACTGGGGTGGGTTTAGTATTCCAAAATCAAAACCCCCCTTTACTTCCCTTTTTTTTAAACCCGATCCCCACTGTAGGGTTTGGGGGGGCTGGAAGTTAAATCATTTTTTAAAACCCCCCTCGATGTGGATTTGATCACAAGAGTGTTTTTTTTTCCAAAAAATTGAGCATCTAGCCCCTATGCCCCCGAGGCTTTCTGTTTTTTAGTTATTCAAACCCAAAAGTCAAATTTACTTCCCCGGGTGTAAAAAATTGGGGAACATTTGATTCTATTAAATTTACGGGGAAAGGAAATAGACCGTTAATTCTAATGACCCACTTTTATAATATTTGGTTTTTATGACAAGACATTCTGTCCCCATCGTTCTTTGTACTAGTTTGTTACTGTCGCCACTCCACAGTTTCTAGTCAGCTATTTGTTCGTTAACCGTGTGAATTTTTATTGTAACCATGTCAGAGATTGAAGTATGGATAAAACACAACTATTATAGGTTGTGAACAGGTCGTTCAGTAGTGATTAGATTTTGTAATAATATTGTCCTTCCCGAGTGCTAGAGGTTACGGTTGCACTCCCCGGTAAGAGCTGGATTTTTTCACGTGAACTTGGACTTTCTAGTTATTCCTCCTTGTCTCTGGGTTAGTGGATCTGGACGCCCGTGTGGTGCATTGTTAACTCGTTAAAAAAATTCCTTTGCGTTGGAAATCGACAGCGTAGTCCTAACGCGCGGCCGAAGTAAAATTTGGATTGAAAATCTACCCTCCGACAAAGTTTTTAAGGATCCTCGCCGGTGCTACAGAGCACTTGTGCACTGTGCTGTGATTCTTTGGACTCAGACTTGGGTTAGAACAGAAACGGAGCACTTATGGGTTTCCCCGTGTGCCATGATGTTTGATCCGTTGTTCAAACTTCAAAACTCTCAACTATCTGCCCTCAATTTCTAGCCACAACTAGATAAGCCAAACCCACGGTTTCCTGGTCTGTGGTTTCTTTGACATATATGCATTTTCTATCTCCAAGAATTTTTGTTTTTTGTTTTTTGCCATTGCCGTGTTACAGAACCTGTGCACTGTGGCTGAGCCTTCTTTGGACTCAGACTTGAATAAAAGAAGAACGGAGCAAAAAAACCTTATGGTTTACACCCATGGTAACATCGTGTTTATCCATTGTTCCAAAACCTCAATTTTTTTTTTTTTTTTTTTAAATATTTCGCAGCACACCATCGCCTAAAACGAAACTGTAATATCTCTATAGCTTGTGTGTGTGGTGTGTTAAGTGTACATTTGTGTGTATGTGTGTGTGCGTGTTGTGAACAATCGCATTCTTACGCGTTCAACGGCTGTAAAATCCGGAGGAAATTTGCTGGTTGTTCATCCACTTGTGGATTTCAGAACTTGAGATTTGCACATGCTATATGCGTTTTACAGTATCGGCTTATTTTGTATACCGATTGTTAGTTCCTCGCTGCGTCTCAGGTCAGATGCATTCCGATTTTGAAGGAGTCCCTTAATAATTGTCTCACAGGAGCCACACAGTTCAATTGTTGTTTTTTTTTTTTTTTTTACAAGTGCCCAGTGTACTTCACTTGCACAGACATAATTCTCGCTAAAAATTGGTTTTTGTTTGATGTTCAACTACTTCCCATTATTTTTGACGCTTAAATTTTTTTTTTTTTAAGTGTTCAAATTATTTTTCGTGGGCATATGACAGAAATGCTTGAGGAAATTGTTGAACATAAAATGAGATAAATTCAGGAGGGTAAAGGAATAATAGAAATTTCTGGGCAAACCACTGGTAACGGAACACTTATAAGACAATTGAAAAAGGCACTTTTAGTGTATGTACGCGGGCGTCCGTGGTTTTAGAGCATTGCGAGTCCGACCTCGTAATTCCAACGTACCGTGAATCGAAACGCACTGCTGGTTGCGTGGATTTTATTATCGTGGTTAGGTCGTCGAAGGTCGATCCAGCCGAAAATGGTTACAGGATTGTATTTCCTGGAGAAGTAAAGACGACCGGAGTAATGCTGACCACATTACCCACCTAGTGACGATTGGTCTCTAAAAAAATGTAGGATGCTTTTTTCCATCTTGAATGTTTATTGAAACAAATTGGGAAGGAATTTAGACGCAACAGAGATGTTGGTTTCTGAGACGAATGTTTACGAATACCTTGGACGGCCATAGTAACTAATCAACTGATGTTTTGAAAAAAAAAAAAAACTAAAGAAAGTAAGATCTCTATATACAACAGTAAGAAGGAGACAAACACTGTTCTTTTGCCACATAATGAGGAGAGAGACATTAAAGAACATCGTGACAACTGGAAAGATCAATGGGAAAAGGGGTAGAGGCAGACCGAGAGAGATTATTCTAGAAGGGGTGAAACGATGGCATGGAGGGATATCATCAAGAGAGCTGTTCCAGGCAACCAGGGATGGTATTCTGTGGAGACGCATAAGCGCCTACGCCAGTTGGCAGGGCACATGACGACTATGATGATTAATCTTTAACAACCAATCACAACTTGAGAGGTTAGTATCATGACCATCGCTTTACTTTCCATGACGTTTCCCAGCCTCTATTTTAGAATGTGTAGGGAAAACTAGATACATTTTTTGTAAATCTTGTTGTTTTTTTTTAAACCAAGATAGCCGTTATGCAGTGGCCAGACGCTCGGCTGCGGAGTCGTAGGTCGTGTGTTCATTTCCTGGCGAGTCGAAATTTCTTTCACAAATGTCTTTGGCTCCCAGCTCGACCCAGCCTTCTAAAACCCTGGAAAGTAAAGATGACCGGCCTGACGTTGGCCACATCATCCATCGAGTGCCGATTAGTCTGTAAGATACAGGTCTACCCTATTTGCCCCAAAACGATGACAATGATGATGATTTTGACGACCAAATATAATAATGTCACTACTGTGTCTTCCAGAACACCGTTATCGGAGTGTCCGTGCTGACGCTGAGTGCTATCGCTGTAGAGAGGTACTTCGCCATCTGCAGGCCCCTACAACCCAGGATTACACAGAGGAAGGTCACAGTTACCGTTCTGGTCATCTGGTTGATCAGCGCAGCTATGGGCTCTCCGAACATGACCAATATTGTTGTTACATATTTCAAGGTGAGTTCTTTCGTAATGACATTTCCATTCTGTCCCACTCACAGAATCAGTTGCAAAATAAATTAAACATATTTTGTGCGGGATCGGCTTGGCTTGGCTTTTTACCCCACCAGGACATCACACAAGCGATAAACACCCGATGACACAAAGTGCCACCATGCGGATTTTGGAGAGGTCCCAGAAACCGCGTTCAGACATGTGGCATAATCATATTGCGGCCCCTGGCCAAAAGCCAGAGTCTTCAAAAAAAAAAATATAAGAATCACTAATTTAAAACGTTTTGCGGGATCACAATCATTAAGTCTAAAAAATATAAGGGTAAAAAACAAAGATAATAAAGATAAAACAGGCAAACAGTAAAGAAATTTCGTGTGATGATTTCCCTCTTCCAGACATAAAGTCATAACCCTCTATGGGCATGGGAGCTGCGTAGTTTCGAGGCAAACGTCAGCCTTCGAGTGGTGGAAGTCCAGGATTCAAGCCCTGGTGAAGGCTGAGTTTTTTTTTTTTTTTTTTTTTTTTTTTTTTTTTGGTGGACTTCTAGTAATGTTCCCTCATCTAAGGTAGTAAGATCAGACGCCCATGTGTATTGTTGCGCACGTAGGAAAAAAACATGGCAGTTGGAAATCGACAAAATGTAGCCTAACGGCGCTGCCCAGGAAAAGTATTTGGAGTTAGAATCTACCTTAAGTACTTCAGGATCATTGCAGTTGCTACGGAGTTCGTGCATTGCGATTATAAACTTCGGATTGAGGCTTGAGTCAGAAGTAGAATGGAGCACTTATTGGTTACTACCCTTGTGCCGTAATGATGATCCAACGTCTCAGCCTAAACCTATTTGGGCAGTAATGTATATAGATAAAGATTGGAAACTTATAAAGATGTTAAAATGTGAATGCAAAAGAAATGAGAATTTTTCAGAGCACTGGAAAATCTTTAACACAAAATCGTTTATTCTAAAATCAAAACAGTACTTCTGTACGGAGCTCAAAACCGGAGAACAACTAAAACAATTATTAATAACCTGCACATATTTATGTGAACTTGTGCCTGAGAAGAACCTTCTACTGCCTTTCTAGCCTCCATTGGAGCTAAGGCCATTAACCAACGCACACCAAGTGGTGAAGAATAAAAGGAATTAAATGGTATAATAGAATCACTGATGTTGAGCTTTAGGAAATACCTAAAGACATTTAGATGAATCAAGAAGGGCGGGGGGGGGGGGGTGGAGATGCTGACGTTGAATATGACAAGTGACGAGAAAATAGAAGAGCAGTATGACTAGAATGCCTTTGTACTGAAACCCACAGGGGCAAAGAAATAAAGCAGACCACACAAACACACACACTCTCACACACACGCACACACACACGCACACACACACACACATACGCACACACACACGCACCCATATTCATACATGTAATGATGAAGATAATGAGGGGGAAAATAATTAAACATTACAGTTAATCCTATATTTCTCTGTCAGTCTCAGCAGATTGGCTAACCTTTTAACAAGAGCTGAAAACAAAGCCCGAATATATGAGATTCAACAACGACCCCCTCAGTGACCTCCGAGAACATGTCATTAATCTTCTTCTTCTTCTTCTTCTTCTTCTTCTTCTTCTTCTTCTTCTTCTTCTTCTTCTTCTTCTTCTTCTTCTTCTTCTCTTCTTCTTCTTCTTCTTCTTCTTCTTCTTCTACTTCTTCTTCTTCTTCTTCTTCTTCTTCTTCTTCTTCTTCTTCTTAGCGTTCTGTAAGCTCCGACTGAAAGTTCTAGCTGTCCGTCCACTTCTGAACCCTAGTCCTAATCCAGAACCTGATTATGCGTGCACTTCCGTTTTACAGATCTCATGTGTCAGCTTGCCCTTGCCTTTCAGGCAGATACACTCTGACTTGGAAGAAAGCCCCCAAATCAGTCGACTTTTACGAATTCTGGGTAGGCAGTGGGTCTGTTCTTATTACATCCTTTACTTGGGCCCAGGAACTCACACGGAGACATGTCAATAATGAAACCAGCGACACAGTCTGAAAACGAACCCACAATCTCCAGAGAGCCAGGTTATAGACTGGCCAACTTTCAACAAAGGACCAATGACGAAATTGTGATAGTGTTAACGGCAACATTCGATGATGATGGTAATGATTATGATAAGGATGATACTATGAGGCTGACGATGATGATAGTGATGAGGATGATAAGGATGATGGCGGTGTTAAAGGTGACGGTGATAACTAGTACGATGCCAATGGCGACAGCCACGATCATAACGATAAAGACGACGACGACGACACGACGACAATGATGATAATGATGATGATGACAACATTAACATAAAATCTCAACCAACCCTGTTTGTTACACCTCAAATCGTTGATGATGAATTTGTTTCCGTGAGGTAAAAGTGCGATTAATTCTCACTCTTACATAATTACTTTATTCCTACAATCTCTGGGGCGCTGGCCTTCTATAGTTATGCATGGCTTCACATAATGATCTATCGATCCAGTCATCTTAAAAAAAAAATTGAGTTAAATAAGATAACCATTTACACGGAACACTGTTATATAGGAAACAAAATGGAATAGCAAGGCAACCGCAACAGATTTCGTAAGTAAATTACTAAAGGGATGTACGAAGTAAATGTGATTCTTCCAATGCGCAAGGCTAGATACTTTGTTAAATTATAATATATAAAGGACTGGAAAGACAGTTAGTTATACACGCTATTGGTTCAGCAAGCTATCAAGGACGAGGAAATCGTTCTTTAGACTAGTTTGATGCGCAGATGGAAAATTATGTTCACTCGTTCTATATCTAGCAACGTGCCGTACATCGATGATACATCAGATGCTCTATCTCGTAACACCTAGATCACAATAAATAAAAGGCTGATACGACAGTTGTCTTATATAGCTCTGAAACCTGGAGCACAGCTGAAAGAAATGAAGCCTTATTTCCACACGCAGAAAATATTAAACAGTTTTACATAGAATTTCTGGCCTATCAAAATGTACACAGTACGAAAGGAGAGTTAGAAACCACAACGAAATTCAGAATGTGTTTAAATCTCTATGGATCACATCCGTCATGTCGCCTAATAGACTGAAACGGTTGGGACATATTGAGAGAATTCATTCATTCATTCAGTAGCATGTCCCTCGCGGAACCTCGCTGCCATAACAACCCTCCGGAAAACCTTCCTATCCTGAGCAAGATGTCCTGCGTCTGATACACCCATCTGGAGATCATCTGCCACATCCTGCACCCATCTTCTCCTTGGCCTTCCTCTTCCTCTCTTCCCAGGCATATACCCTCCATTATTGTTGTTCTCTCTAGACTTCCATGACGTTTCAAGTGACCAAAATATTTCAATTTTCTTCTTGTTTTATTGTCTTTACTAGCCAACCCTCTTCAATATTCAGCTCTTGAAGTATGGATGCATTTGTTCTTTTTCCTTACCCAAGATATTCTTAGAACCTGTCTGTAACATTTATATTCAAATGCATTTATGCGCTGTTCCGCTTGTTTAGTAAGTGTCCAGGTCTCACAGGCGTATGTTGCAATGGGAAAGATGCATGCTCTTAAAAATCTGACCTTTGTAATTCTATCTGTACAATTCCATAATTTATTCAGTTGTTTTAGTCTTTGAAGAGCAATTGATAGTCGCCGTTTAATTTCTTTCATTGTGTCACCATTGTTGGTAACCAGTGACCCAAGATATTCGAAATTTTCCACCACTTCCAATCTTTCCTTGAGAGAATAGCAGATGACAAAGAGACACAAGCTAAGTCCACAAGTGAGTTGTTGAATTTCGATTGACCACGAGGCAGACTATGCGGAATCTGTGGAGATTTAATATTTAGGCAGGCCTGCAAACGCTGGGAGCAACCAACTGAAAAGAGAGGGCCAATCGCAGGGAATAAATGGAAGCGGATGTTTGATACACAATTAGCAATGATCTCATGGGGTCTGAATGTTGAAAACAAAAAAAGGGGTTGGGGTGGGAAGGGGCGTACATTTCACAAAAACAGTGAGCATTCTTCTTCTTTCTTTCTTCCTATCTTTACATATTCAAGCTTTATAAATATATATATATTTATATAAGCAGCAGTCAGTCTCACTTTAAGTTGAGTTTCCTTCCAAATGCCAAATACTGTTATCAAAGTTTTCTCTGCTATACACATGTTAGATACAGATGCTGTAACTATTTAGCTGTAATAATATTACTTGTAAAGAGGGGCGTACGACAATGATGTGAACTGTCACCTGATTTGTTTTCAATATACAGTGAATATATAATGAGATCTTTAATTGACATGCCCGGAATTGTGGTTGGTGGGCATAATATAAACATTTTACGTTATGCTGATGACACAGTCATGATAGCAACAAGTCAGAAAGAATTACAGGAAATGATAAACATTGTGGTGTTAGAAAGTGAAAGAATGGGCCTGAGTTTGAATAATGGGAAGACAGAAGTAATTGTGTTATCAAAAAAAACGAATTATTCCTTAATGTGTAATAAAAGTGGATAGTGTTATTTTAGGACAAGTACAGAAATGTAAGTATCTGGGCACAGAGATAACATCAGATGGAAGAAATAACCTGAAAGCAAAAACACGCAAATAGGACAGGCAACAAAACTGCATTTTATAAAATGAAAAATATCTTGTGCAATATATCCTTGTCATTGAGAGTTAAAAAAAGAATTCTTGCTTGCTACATACATCCAGTTTTAAAATATGGCTGTGAATCCTGGACAATCGGTAGGCAGGCCAAACAATTTATTGAGGCCTCAGAGATGTGGTTTTACAGAAGAATGCTTAGAATACATTGGACAGCCAAAAAGAGCAACCAAGAGGTTTTAAAAGAGGCGGGGAGCCCGAAGACAACTTATCACAGACATCAGAAGGAGACAGTCATAAATTTTCGGCCATGTTATGAGAAAAGGGAAAATAGACCACTGGAAAGATCTGTGGAAGGAGGGGTAGGGAAAAACAACGAGAGAAGATTCTTGACAGTCTTGTTGCAAGGCATGGAAGTGTGTCGCCACACGAACTGATACATGCTGCAAGATCGTAGATTATGGAGATGCATGACTGCCCACGCCAGTCGGCAATGCACCTGATGATGATGAAAATCACTTGCCTACAAACATCTAACCTTGTGTATGGGATGAAAAAAGGTAGGGGACATTACACAGTAATGGTATATTCTATAACATATTTAACCTTCAAGTAAAATTCATGTTATTGTTGCCGAGGATAGGGAGGAATGGATAAAGACTTTAATAATTGCTAACAAACTACAAACATTCATTACCTCGCGCAAGGACATGAAGTCTACATAAAAGACATTACACAGAATGTAATGGTATTACTTAGTCACTAACATTTTTTTTTCTTCTAAGATGTAAAATGTCATGGAATAAACTGAGAGTAGTAGTAGTAGTAGTAGTAGTAGTAGTAGTAGTAGTAGTAGTAGTAGTAGTAGTAGTAGTAGTAGTAGTAGTAGTAGTAGTAGTAGTAGTAGTAGTAGTAGTAGTAGTAGTAGTAGTAGTAGTAGTAGTAGTAGTAGTAGTAGTAGTAGTAGTAGTAGTAGTAGTAGTAGTAGTAGTAGTAGTAGTAGTAGTAGTAGTAGTAGTAGTAGTAGTAGTAAATATTACCCCACTAGGACATCATTCAAGCGATAAACACCCGATGACACAAAGTGCCACCATGTGGGTGAGGATCACCCGTGGAGAGGTCCCAGAAATTGCGTTCAGCATTTAGACCATATTTATGGCCGGGCTATATTGTGGCCCCTGGCAAGAGCCAGGGTAGGGCTTCAAAATAACGAAAAATTATTGCCTCCCACAAGGGGACGACGCTGTAAACTGAGAGAACACTATCGAGTGCTAGATAGGACATACTGCGAAAAGTTTACAAGTAATGCAAATAGTACGTCCTTTCACTGGAACTCTCACGGTGAAAAAAATAAAGGAAGATGATACACTACATGAACAAGATAATAGGAAAAATGTATGTTAATCATACTGGAAGTATATGGGTGAGCTTTATGTAATCGCAGTAAATAGGACGAATAGTCTCGAGTTGTCTCAAAGTCTATGGTCCATTAGGAAATCTTTTTTTTTCTTTTCATTTTCCTCCTAGCCAGGGGGTTTGTTGTTTTTAAGCCTCTAGGAAGAATGTAGTGCGATGCATGTCTATACAGATTTTGTTTCCAGTTATAGAGTTAACTTATGTGTCCTGTGTTATGCCTACACTCTACTATATGTAGTCTCGGGTACCCGAGTCACCAATGTTGAATTTCCTGTAAATATGATTGCCAAGTTAATTGTGTCCCGTTTGCAGTCTAAATACAATGGTCATTTTCTCTCGCCCGTGGAGTTTATTTGGTCTTCGGGTTTGCGTTCTAGAAGGGAAGTGTTTCAATTGGTTCTACTGACTGCCTTGATCTGGTAAATAAAGAACAGAAGAAGAAGAGAATATATTTAGAGCGGGTCGTTTAGTCTTTTGGACAAACCTTTGAATAATAACTGTTTAACCTGTTCACAGAATGCAGAGTTGAACCAGTACCTGGCGACCTGTCAGAGCGGTTTGGATTACCAGATGGCAGAGGTCTACTTGATGTTTATAGTCATCGCCTTCTACTTGGTGCCAATGGTCATCATCGGTATCTTCTACTTAATCATCTCCCATCATCTGTGGCACGTTCGAGTGCCTGGAACAACGATAAGAGGTGAATATTTCACGTTACGCTTGTTTCAGCACGTGCATTTGACAAGATACAAATTTGATAGTACTCGTCTATTCGTTCTACAGATTCCATAACAAACACGCTAATCACGTCATTGTCCTTACCGGATTTCTAGACCAAAATGCTAATAGCAATAGTTTTCCTAGCAGATTCTATAACAAACCTACTAAAGGTGTGTGGTAGTTTACTTTTAATTCATCCCCCCAAAAATTACGTAGTTTCCTGAAAAGTCCAGTATTCTTTACATTGGTTGTTTTCTTTATGTCACGTCGGTATTGACACAATGTGCACGAAGTAGTGTTCACAATGTAGACAAACTGTGCAACTCTGTGTGAATGCTATACACAATCTGAGAATGAGAACTGGGATGTTTTTGGGGTCCCTGAAAACGGCTAGTCCCCATTGTATACTGCTGGGTTCACGGGTTTACAATCATACAGTTTTACAGGTTATTAGATCCGGAGATGTCGAATACAGCAATTGTTCATCAGCACTGACTATTGTTTGCGTGGCAAGAATAGAACAATATCTGCAAGAATGGTAGGTCGGGACCTACACATTTAGTGTGTCCATGCTGCATAAAATCGCACATGTGAAATTATAGGTGGCGCCTGTGCTCCCTATTTTGTCCATTGTTTTCTCTTTTTTGCCGTTCTACATAAGCGCTCGATGCATTGAGTTTTTGCACTAACGATCAGGGTGTTGTTGTTTTTTTTTTTTTTTTAGGTTTGGAATACGGATCATCGACATTATGGCACACGGATAGTAACCCATAAGTGCTCCATTCTTCTTCTAACTCAAGTCTGAGTCCGAAGCAGCTCACCACAGTGCACATGCTCTGTAGCACCGGCAAGGATCCTGAAATACTTTGTTTAGATTTTTAATCTCAAATCTTTGCCCGGGCGCTGTTGGGAGACTTTTTTCGATTTCCAATTGTCCAAAGCATTTTTTTTTTAAGTGTGCAACAATGCACACGGGCGTCCGACCTTACTACCCAGAGACCAGGAAGAATTACTAGAAGTCCAAGTACACGTGACAAAATCCCAGCCCTTACCGGGAATAGAACCCGCAACCTCTAGCACTCGAGGCGGACACCCTGCCTCGAGACCACCCAGCCCCATCTGAATTAAAAGTAACTTAGTTGTTTTCAGTAGTAGCATGATATAGTGAGAATGTGAGTTGCTGTTGATTTGATAGAAGCAAACGAAAATTGAACACATTTAACGTTGCTAAAGAAGCTTCGGTTATATTTATGGTCTGGTTTCATGTGCGCCAAGTCAAATGGCTTAAATGATTTGTTGTGTCAGTAGTTGCTGCTTATTGTCCCTAACTGTTTGATGTTGTCATTTCTGAACATATGTAGGTCATCGCTGTTGGTCCTGTGGCCCTGCTGGGAGTTCCGTTCTGTTTTGCATGTCTGTCTTCCTGGCTGTTTTCTCCTGTGTCTTGCATGTCTATCTTCCTGGCTGTTTTCTCCTGTGTCTTGCATGTCTGTCTTCCTGGCTGTTTTCTCCTGTGTCTTGCATGTCTGTTTTCCTGGCTGTTTTCTCCTGTGTCTTGCATGTCTATCTTCCTGGCTGTTTTCTCCTGTGTCTTGCATGTCTGTCTTCCTGGCTGTTTTCTCCTGTGTCTTGCATGTCTGTTTTCCTGGCTGTTTTATCCTGTGTCTTGCATGTCTATCTTCCTGGCTGTTTTCTCCTGTGTCTTGCATGTCTATCTTCCTGGTTGTTTGTTCCTGTGTCTTGCATGTCTGTCTTCCTGGCTGTTTTCTCCTGTGTCTTGCATGTCTATCTTCCTGGCTGTTTTCTTCTGTGTCTTGCATGTCTATCTTCCTGGCTGTTTTCTCCTGTGTCTTGCATGTCTATCTTCCTGGTTGTTTGTTCCTGTGTCTTGCATGTCTGTCTTCCTGGCTGTTTTCTCCTGTGTCTTGCATGTCTATCTTCCTGGCTGTTTTCTCCTGTGTCTTGCATGTCTATCTTCCTGGCTGTTTTCTCCTGTGTCTTGCATGTCTATCTTCCTGGTTGTTTGTTCCTGTGTCTTGCATGTCTGTCTTCCTGGCTGTTTTCTCCTGTGTCTTGCATGTCTATCTTCCTGGCTGTTTTCTCCTGTGTCTTGCATGTCTATCTTCCTGGTTGTTTGTTCCAGTGTCTTGCATGTCTGTCTTCCTGGCTGTTTTTTCCTGTGTCTTAGGTATGACTGCTATTTATGATAAGGATTGTTCTCCTGATTATGTGTCGGTATTCTTCCTGAGGCAAAACGTCCTGCGGTCTGTCTTTGAGTTACCTGTTTGGTTGTCCTTTTCCTGTTGTCGGGACCTAATGTGGGTGAGAATGTGAGTTATTAAGTAAAGAACCGTTCCACCGTAGCCCGGCTCTCTTTTCTAAATGCTTGGGTCACCCAGGGTCGTGGTTTTGTTGCCTGGGGGAATCAATAGGAAGAATATAGACGAGGAAGATAGTAGTGCGGAAAGATGAACAGATCCATCACCGAAGCCGCCCAAGAAGCGCAATACAAATACTGAAAACCACGACACTGGGCTACAACCTGGTATCAGTGAGACCACAAAACCACGACACAGTGCTGCAACCTGGTATCAGTGAGGCGACAAAACAACGACACTGGGCTACAACCTGGTATCAGTGAGACGACAAAACCACGACACTGGGCTACAAACTGGTATCAGTGAGACGACAAAACCACGACACTGGGCTACAAACTGGTATCAGTGAGACGACAAAACAACGATACTGGGCTACAACCTGGTATCAGTGAGACGACAAACGGAGAACGAAAGAACGAACAAACGAACTTTATTTCTTAGGAGAAGAAAAAGAAGCTGGTCGTGTCCATAGTACTAGTAATGATGATAATGGTTCTTTCTCATGACATGCATCTCACTCAGATGCTCTATGAAACCATGTCGAAACACTTAATTTCTCTAGTGTTTTTTGTTTTTATTGTCATCTTTCGGTGGTCTGATTAACAGCTTCAATACCTAATTTCTGAATGGCAGGTGACTGTACCTGAATAATCTTGGCGTCTCTTTTTCTTGTTATCTATTGTTATTATCTATTTTTAACTCTTTACCTACTGCGATCTATTATACACATGTATGCTTCAGCTTGATGTGGCGTTGTGTTCTCATGTCCCGTTACTTGTTCACAGGTTCTATTTATTATGACTGCCACGTGGCTTCTAGGGCTGTGTGGTAAATCGTCGACTAACACTTTGTAACTGTTTTAATCGAAAGTACCTCAGTTGAAACATGGATCAAAGTAACTTGCCTTTTGCCTCTAAATTTCGATAACTCGTCTTTCGTCTCCTCTCTGGTGTCTGGTCTGCGAGGCTGCATGTTGTAAGTTCCTCCCGTTAGCATTGGAAGACTGAATCTCAGTCGTTAAAGGATGCACAAGTGATGAGTCGATAGATCGGTTTGTCCCCTCCGAGCTGTTATATAAAGTTTGGTCATACCATCAAGATATTTAAAAATCTCAATCTATAATTCAGACCAACAAAGCAGATCCCAGATACCCCGTTCAACCTCCAAAGAAGTTATAATTAGGGCACCCGTGACTGCTACACCGGCCAGGTATGAGCGACAGCACTATGCCGGTAAGGACTGTTGGTAGTCTGGCTTCCTAACCGCTTTTTTTTTTTTTTTTTTCAATACTGAGACCCCGGTGTGGGATGCGTTCTACTGCTCCTTTGAAGAGCTTCTGTATCATTATAGTAGGTTAACTTTTTTTTTTTTTTTTACTGAAGCGTTCTCGCTGTGAAATTTCCTAACGGCGTCTAGATTGCATCATCTAATTCTACCCCTCAAGCCATCAATAAGGTTGACATGTAACCTGAAAATGTTAAGGCAGTCCAAGAACGCTAGTGCTACAAAGCTATGCTTGACAGAGCGCGTCATTAAATGTACATTAAATATTTTTTTTTTAATGTCTAGATTAATCATTTATATAAATTCCCTTTGCTAACAAACAAGTTATGCTTCTACAGAGAGTTTACACATTCGTGCTTTTGTATTTTCGATAATTTCTATGTAATTGCTTATCCATGAAATGCAATTTTTTTTTTTTTTTTATTATTGACTGGGCTCCCATTTTGATCTCGATGTAATATTTTTTATATAAATAATTTATAGACTGTCCAGTTGTAAAGAAACATGTGCTTTTTTTTGGGATCATTTGTATAATTTAAATTTAGTAACAAAACAAACTGTATAGTACAGATGTAAATACCATAACCCTAACGCTAACCACATAAACTGACGCCTTTATAGCTTGTTACGAAACTTGGAAACGATCCAGCAAATCCATTTCATAGCGCGTTGCGACCCTTTCAGTGGAAGAGTTGTGGTCTTATTTACAATTTACGTAAAACACAAGAGAAAGATCGATCGGTTACATTTGAACTTTGCGATGTATAACTCTTAAAAGGCAATCCTTCCAGGATCGTTGTATATTTATAGAACTCAAATAAGCAAAAATGCATTCTAACTAATTGTTTAGCCGGCAAAAAAAGATGTGACACAATGTTGAGAGTGAAGTAATTATTAATAAAAAGCAAAATCATTAAATAAAGGCAAAGGAATAATAGTCTTCAATGAACAGCATGCTGAAGAAAAAAATATTATTTCAGGACACTGACTGGCCCTTTTGCAATACCCAAAGTACGTGTCGTAAGGATTTGGCTTTATAAGTCCGCTGGAAATTAGTAGACGAAGAAACTAAATAATCCGATCCAATCACCCTTATGAACTCATCGCTAAAGACCATTGATTCTTACCCCGAATAATGGATACATGTTTTTACTGATATATCTGCATTCAAAGCTACCATTAAAGCAGGTTACAGAATCTACATAGTTTATCCTGATGGATCTATTGAAGAGAAATTTGATGCATGCGGGGAATTCTGCTCAAATTATGAAACTGAAATAATTGCACTGGAAACTGCAGTATACCACCTAAAGACTGTAATGGATGTTTATCCTTTAAAGGCTCAAAATATTGTCATCTTGACCGATTCAATGTCTGCTCTTTAAACTCTCGAGGGCAGTGAACGCTGCATAACTGACATAGCTAAGATAATTCTGGAGGCTGATCAGCTCATTAGCTCATACAACATCATAATAGGGATGCAGTGGCTTCCAGGCCACTCCGGCACACCAGGTA